TGCCAAACCTGTGGATCTAACCCTAATCTCTTTCATGAGCTCTAGCCCCCCCATCTCTGCTTCCTGCTGGACATATCCACTCAGGCATCCCATCAGAACCTCAGGCTCAATTTGCTGATATATAATGCAAGTAAATATAAGATATATCTATATAAATATTCATGTATTAATTATTATATTATTTCTATATACTGTATTATACAATTATATTTAGAATTGTATAATATAATATATATAGCTAATTAAATATGAATTAATTATGTTCCTTCCCTAAAACTATTTCTCCTCCCTACTTCTCTATTTCTGATGGTATTACCACTATCCTCCTAGGTTAATCTCATTGTCATCTTTTATTCATTTCCCTATCCCACCTATCACAACCACAACCAATCTATTCCCAAGTCTTGTTGATTTTACTTTCACAGTATTTCTTGCAAGTATCTCTTCCCTTCTAGTAGCATCATTACCACCGTCTTCAGGCCCTCATCCTTTCTCACCTATAACATAACAGCCTCCTAACTGTACTTCTTACCTCCAAACTCTACTCTAGCTTTTGCACAGCTTCCAGAATGATTTTCCTAATGTACTTGTCTTACTTTGCTGTTCCTTGCTCAGAAATCAGCTCCCTATTGCATGCAAAATTAAATGCAAACTTGTTAGCCTGATGTTTAAGACCATCAGTAACTTGCTTCCAGTGCACATTTCCAGCCTCATTTCTCATTATTCACCTAGGCATAATCTGTGTTCCATCAAACTGCATTACTAGCTATTTCCTGATCTTATCCTGTTTTTTCCCATACCTATTCATTCACAAAAATACTGCCCATTGCTTGGACTTGTTTAAATCCTTCACTTTAAGATCCAGATCAGGGGGCAGCTAGGTGGCACAGCGGATAGAGTGCTGGCCCTGAAGTCAGGAGGACCTGGGTGCAAATCCAGCCTCAGACCAAACACTTGACACTTACTAGCTGTGTGACCCTGGGCAAGTCACTTAACCCTAATTGCCTAAAAACAAAAACAAAAACAAGATCCAGATCAGGTATTGCCTCTCATGTGAAATCTTCCTTTATTCCACCTGTTGAAAGTAAATACTCCCTTCTCAGATTTATTATAACACTTTCTCTTGGATCTTTCCTTAATCAGTTAAGGTTTACTTTATGTCATTTTTTATGTTTGTATTCTGCATTATCGCTAATAGTTTGTAAGCCCCTTGAGGCCAGTAAGTGTGTTTTTTTTAATATTTATATCCATCTACAACTGATAATGGTGCCTCATACACAATTTGTACGCATATTACATTGTTGAATTAAATTGAACTGCTTTCTGGAAGTGCTTTGTCAATTGTTTATAGAAAGTTGCTGCAGACCATAGTAATCCAAACTATAGAAGCTGACTTTATTTTTTTTTGGGGGGGGGAGGGCAGGGTTGTTTGGTTTTTGGCTAGGCTGTGGAGTTAATTGACTTGCCCAGGGTCACACAACTAGTAAGTGTCAAGTGTCTGAAGCCGGATCTGAACTTGGGTCCTCCTGTCTCCAGGGCCAGTGCTCTATCCATTGTGCCACTTAGCTGTGCCCAGTAGCTGACTTTTTTATCTAGCTCTTTGGAGTATACAAAGTACCCTATGTATATTGTCACATTGGATCACAACCCTCAGAATCAGGTACTTCAAATTTTGTTATTCTGATTTTGTAGATCAGAAAGCTGAGGTTCACAGAGCTTTGGTCATTTTCCTAAAGATGTTTTCATTGATATCAATGCTGTATGGGAGAGTGGGTACTCTACCACCATTGCTTGCAGGCACCTGGCTTCTGTGTTTAAATTCAGTACTGCTGGGTCTTGAGGCCTGTCTGAATGCTCAGTGATCTAAACTTCTCTCTTTCGTTTTCTTTTCAAGAGTTCTGCAGTAGCTAAAAATCAAAGTGATAAGAATAGTGACCTTCTAGCCCTTACCACTCTTCCTTCATTCCCAGTTCTGTTCCTTTTAAAGGGAACTGAACTTCTAATCTCTCAGGGCTGTTAGTGATTTTGTTTTTGTACAAATAATAGGAGTTATTAACCAACTTATTTAACTTCTCTCTGGACCACACACCACATACTGGATTATGAGCTACCTTACACTGTGTTCTGTGTGTTTCATGTTTCATCTTTCCTGATAAGTGGGTAATAAGCTTCATAATTGTAGAACCTCTATCTTTTGCTTCTTTTGTTTCTGCCCACCCCCAGAGTACACAGCAGAGTTGTACAAGACACACATTGAGGTGCAGTTTAAATATTAAAATTCCTTTAAAAAATTAGGTACACCATTTTATGGGTACTTTGTTTCACAGGCACAAAAGCGGCTCTGAGCATCCCTGGTCTAGAGCTGAGTGATGTAATAGAGCTAAAGCTATAAGGAAAATCAAAAGAAATGGGACTTGTAGTGGCAAAGCATTTAAAAATTCTTTTCAAATTAAGAACAGTCTTGCAAATTTTGCATGCTAGCCAGCTCAGATTTCCTAAATTATTACCTAATAAGTATTTAACAACTGGCTATGTGTAGGTAGGTGGTGGGGGTAGGGGGAAACAGGAAAATGGAAAATGTACGCAGGACACATCTTTAAGGTCAATATCCATTATTAACATTTTCTCCATCACATTTGTATGAGTCTAGACAATTAACAAATTAAGTCCTGACTTGTAACATTTGCCAGTTTCCAAGGTATAACAAATGCTCATACCAAAATTATAATTATCCTCTCTCCCACTAGTTCAGACTAACTCCAACACACCCCTGAGTTAACCCTTCATTAAATAAAATTTGAAATTAAGACTGAAAAATGAGGTATGGATTATGTTGTAAAAAATCCTTTCCTATAGGTTAGATATCATTAAAAGAGAGAGGAAGCTTTCAGAGCTGCCTTCTGTATATCAATAAGGATGTGCAAAGTATTTTTCAAAGGACAATTAGAATCTTCCTAAGAGTCCCACAATAGAGGATGGTATTATGTTTCCCCATCCTCTTGGATAGACCAAAGGCAGTGACAAAGCATTAGCACTGGGGAGAAAAACTTCATCTTTACACAATCTGCATTATATCATCAGAGATCTAACCAAAGCTAACACCTGTAACTGAAGATATTAGCAGGAGAAATTACTACCTCCCTAGTCTCACATTGAAAAAAAAATCTTAGCAAGTATTTTCCCTATGGATATTTGAGACATTAGGGAGAAAGTGTGTGTGTGTGTGTGTGTGTGTGTGTGTGTGTGTGTGTGTGTGTGTGTGTGTGTGCACATTTATCTTTCCAGTATGTCCTAAAACCAGTTAGCTCATTAAAAGTATGAAATATTCTAATGAAAATGGCTTGTGAGAAATTCATGAAAATGTTTAAACTTGTGTTTGTAATTGAAATTAAAAGAGATAATTGTATTTCTACTCCAGAATTTTTATAGCTGAATACTGGCTAACATGGACTTTTCATTTGTAACTACCTTTAGTAACTTTGTAGCAGTGAGATTTAACGAAGTTTTTGTTGGCATTCAGTGAAAGGAAATAGTTTGTGTTTTTAAAAATTTGAGTAATCTCAGATAGAAAGTTAACTCAGAGAACCTCATTTGAGAGTTATGGTCAGAACATCTGATACTGACTTTATATAAAAAGTCATCTTTTTTCTATTCATAAACTATGCCATGTAAAGAAAGCTGTTGGACCACTTGTCCTCTCCTGATTTATCTCATTTCTTTTCTAAAAATGTGTGTATATGTGTAAGTGTGTGCACACACACACTTAAACACATGTATATGTGTGAGAGGAAATTATTATTTTACTATCAGATTAATAACAAGTTATTAAAGTAGGATCCAGGCTGTTCTCCTTTATTTCCTCATTTAGGGTCCAACTCCTGCAAAAAGCCAGTCTCTGAAGGATATGACTGATTGATGAGATTGTCCTAGCCCTCAAGGAACATGTTCTTCTACAGGGGTAGGGAACCTGTGGCCTTGAGGCCACATATGGCCCTCTAGGTTCTCAAGTGTGGCTATTTGACTGAATCTTTTGAATTCACACTCCAGGCCACAGGTTCCTCATCCCTGTTCTTCTATCTTGGACAAGACCCCACCCAACTAGGATATCTTACTTTTGTTTAGATATAAACAGAATCCAGTCTGCACTAGTTCTTACCCTGAGGAGAAGAGTCTTGTACCTGACCTTGTACTTCCCCCATTAGAGTTTATGGTGACCCAGCTCAGGAAGGAGAAAGTCAACCAGAGTGGTCTGGAGGAGATGTATTCCCCTGTTCAGCCTGCTGGCAGTGGCTAAGTCTCATGATCAAGCCATGTTCTCAGCGGGAGCCAAAGACTTCTATCCCACCTTCTCATTATATGTCTACCAATTAGGGTTGATTTTCAATTGTCAAGGGCGTTCTCTTTCAAGGATTATTTGAAGCTTTCAGCCTCTCCATATATTTTGTCTTTTGTTAAGAGAAACCACTGACCATCAATTTATTGATTGCTAGCTAGCCTAATTAATAAATTGATTATTAATTACTCAGAAACTCTCACGGGTTTTCATTTGTCACATATATATATTGTAATATACTTACATATACATGTATACATATACATAGACATGCATATAGACTATGTCGGTTTATATTTGGGAAGAAGCCTCTTTTGGTCTGGATCTATGCTTTCTGCTATGTGTAGATTTTCTCGACTCACAATCATGGTGACTGATCTGTAAATTTTATTCTTAGAGTGTTGCCTGGTTCTCTGAGATGCTTAATGACTTGTCTGGGTCACTCAACTGTATATATCAGTGGCAGAATTTGAACTCAGTTCTTCCTGACCATCATGCATGGAATCATATGTGTATGTGTATATCTATACATATATCAGATAAGTGATTATTTGGAGTAATAACTAAAGTTTAGCAAAACAATAGCACGTTTAAAAATTGTTTTAAATGTAAATCCACTTTAATTGATGTTCTCTGATGTGCTACAGTTTTTCTTCTTGTGTTTTAGCCAAGCTAAAGCCATGTATTCCTGTAAAGCTGAGCACAGTCATGAACTCTCCTTCCCACAAGGGGCAATATTTTCCAATGGTAAGCAATATATTTAATTCTGTTCAGTTCAACACATTTTCATTGAATTTGTCTATTCACATATTTATTCCCAGACTGCAAGCTCTAGGAGGGTAGAGTCCATGTCCTCAATAGTGTTTTACTTTCCTCCCCTCCCTGCCCCTTACCTGACCTAGAGCTACACACACACATAAATGATTGTTGATTGTTGGTTTTTATGATTGTATTTAAGATGAGGAATATAGTGGGACAGAGTAAAAAGGATACTTCAGTAGGGGTCAGGAGACCTGATTTTAGTCCCACATCCACCATTAAGTAAACATATGAGCTTGGACAAATCACTTAACACCCCACCCCCAAGATTCAGCTTCTCCCTTAGGAAAATGAAATGGGTAGATTCAACCTGGAGGGAAATTTGTACTGAAGTGCTCGTGAGACCTGCCATTGACCCTATTATCAACCCTTTTATAAGTGACTTCAATGAAGGCATAGATAATAATACCTAGCATTTAAATAGCATTTTTTGTATCATATATATTTATGTGTATACACACATATATATAAAAATATGTATATAATACATACACATATAAAATATAATACATACACATAAAAAATAACATGTACACATATAAAAATATAGAATGTGTGTGTGTGTGTGTGTGTGTGTGTGTACTACTGTCTCATTTTATCTTTGCAGCACTGAAAATCAGTTGCTATTATTTTCCACATTTTACAGATGAGGAAACTGAGGCAGGCATAGGTTAAATGATTTGCCCTGGGTCACACAGTCAGTAAATATTTGAGGACAGATTTGAACTCAGGACTTCCTGACACCAAGCCCAGCTGCTTCTGTATGGATAGGTGGCAGATGGCACAAAGCTAAAATGGGTAATTAATATTTTAGGTGACAGGATCCAAAAAAGATCTTAACAGATTAGAACATTGGGCTGAATCTAATAACGTAAACATAAAAGGGGTAGATAAGCACCAGAGATCTTAGTAGGAGCAGAGAAATGGTGCTACCTACCCCTTCCATCCTCTGACTTTGCTGCCATGCAAATCCCACATCTAGAGGTCCCAGTAGAGCAGATGCTACAGGGAGCCATCCCCCCAACTTGCCCACCAGTAGCACCTTCCTTTCTTCCCCTCCCAGATGGAAACTGACCTCCCATCACCACCACCAAGGAAAAGAACCTTGATCCCCTCCTTTACTCCCTCCCTCTGTGGGACAAGGAGGATATGACCAGTAATACTGCTTGAATAAGTAGAGAGTCAACAACTATAATCCTTCCAGTTAGATAGAAGACCAGCAGATCTTCCCATCTGGTCTGCTGCTATAGTCTCTGGCATTACTGTCTGACCTGTTGCTACACCCTAAGGGCTACCAGATCTTTCCATCTCACTTATAGTTGCACTCCTTTCTCTGTGTTGTCCCTTCCACTTGGAATGTAGCTCTTTAACAGACAAGAGGGATGGTCTCATTTTATTAATTGTATCTCCAGTACTTAACACAATGCTTGGGACATAGTAAGCACTTAAGAAATGCTTTTCCATGTTTTCATTTGCTATCATTGAAGTAAAATAATGTTAAGTAAGCTGATAATCTATTCAAATGACTGGTTTTTGACAAAAACCTTGGGTTTAAAAAATCAACCTGACAACTTCTATGTGGGGAACGGTTAGCTAGCAACTCATCTAAAAAAGATATGGAAATTTTAAAGTGCTATTAGTTCAAGATCATTTAGCAAGCATTTAAGTGCCATCTGTATACTAGATACTGTGATAGGCACTGGGATACAAACACAAAACTAAAACAATCTCTACCCTCAAGTTGATTATATTTTATCAAGGAAAAGTGTGTGTGTGTGTGTGTGTCTGTGTGTGTGTGTGTGTGTACATATGCATATTATACACCTAAATACATGTATATGAAGATGCAAAATGAACATAAGGCAGTTGAGGGGTTAAGGGAGGTACTTGGCAACTGGTGGGATCAGAAAAGGCTTTGTGTAAAAAAAGTTAACAATATGATATCATAGTCAAAAAAGCTAATGCAATATTAGCCTAAGAGAGTCATAATCCAGGATTCAGGAGGTGACCATCTCACTGTACTTTTTTTCTGGTCAGATCCACCTCCATTCTCCTGCAGGGGGAATATTTAATTGACTTCTATGCACCACATTTTAGGAAGTGCATTGATAAGCTGGGGGTATCCAGGGTACAGTGATCAGGGCTTTTAAAGGGCATCAAGATTAAGCAGCACAAGGATCAGTTATTGAGTGAACTGCAGATGTTTAGCCTGGAAAACAGACATGATTTCCTTTTTTAAGTATTCGAAAGGCTTTCATGGGGAAGAGGGATTCGTCTTCCTGTTCTTGGCCTCAGAGGAGAGAACTGAGAATACTGAGGGGACACAGCAAGAGGCAGGTTCCAGCTTACTGGAATGAAGACCAAGGTTCTCCAGAAGGGAACTGAGCTGCCTTGGGTGCAGTTGGGCTCCCTTCAATAGCAGCCTCCAAGCAGAAGTTAGATGACCACCTGTTGGACATGTTGTCAGGGAGATTCTTAATCAAGTTTGGGTTTGGCTAGATGGGCTGTGAAATGCCTTCCAATGCTGAGAGTCCATGTAATTCTTCACTGATTCTCCTTGAGGCCTCCCTCAACTCTGATGAGTCTGTGACTTGATGGTCAGTTTGAGAATGTCCCCAAAGCCTGATAAGGATTTAAATGCTTTCTCCCAGATAATGACTGATTGTAAATTGTACTGTGTTTGTCTTTGCTTTGCAGTCTACCCATCAGTGGAACCTGGATGGTTAAAAGCAACTTATGAAGGCAAAACAGGACTAGTTCCAGAAAATTATGTTGTCTTCCTCTAATTACAGTTAGTAGATGGCAGTATCTTCATGGTATCCATGGTAACAATAATAATTATAAACGCTATGATTTTATCTGACACAGATACGGGGATCAGCCCACTCAATGAAAATGGTTGATTTCTGTCAAGTTCTTTACTGGCAGTTTGTACAGCAGCCCCGTCATTGAAACAAAATGTATTTAAATTGTTGGCCTGTCTTTTCAAACTAGCACTCTGTTCAAATGACTTGCTTTTTGATAAAGAGAAACCATACACCTTTTTTTTTAAACATAACAGTGGCAGAATTGGAAATAGAAATACTGAGTTGGTCATCCAGTCCAGGCAACTTATAGCCCAAGAAACTGCTACAAGATTTTTGGGAGTCCTGACCAAATATATTCATCCGTAACCCACTGCTCCCTGAAGTATCTAGAAATCACGTGTCATAATATAATTTAAATTGTATATTTTTGTCTCTTGGAAAAAAAAAGGTATTGAGTTGACTTTTCTTTATACTTCACTTTTTGCTGGTCCTTAGCATTTCAAGGAAGTAGATTTGCAACATCACTTTATGTTTATTTGTTATCTGAGGAGATGATAATATTCATATGCAATAATGCGTGTTGTCTATGTAAATGAGGCCAAATTAGGTTATACACTGATCCAGAATGTGATTATTCTCTCTCAACAGCTTCTTAATTTTATCTATTTTACTACCAAAAGCCCCTTGAGAATAGGGACTGTGGCTTATTTATCTTGGAATTTATCTTAGTGTGTTGCACATAGTAGGCACTCAATAAATTTTTTTTTAATGGATATCTCCTTTACTTCTAGATTTTTACCCCTTTGTATAAATATAATTATAAAAAAAATTTATTTATATCCTGCTTGAGGTCTGATAGGGGCTCTTCACAGAAACAATTCTAAAGCCAATAAAACACCAATTAGATGTGACTACACAATATAAGCCAATTATATATGAACACACAATGTAAAAACACAGACCCAGATGCCACATAACATTACTATAAGATTTCAAAATGCCTTATGACTGTTGGAGTTATTTTTTCTGAGTTTTTTTCTACAGATGACACAGGTCTTCTGTGAAGACATTAGATGGGCAAGCTATATATTCTAAAGATTATACTGAACTGAAAAAGAAATATAAAGCCATATACTGTTTAAATTGGGTTATCTTAGCTTCTTCCATCTCTCTTGCACTACAGTAGTATCTGGGGCTTGGTAATCTTTTATATCATTTTGTTTGTAAGCTTTATTTTCTTGGGGATTGTATTGAATTGTCAATGAGTACAAATCAGAAAGGAAAGTATTGGCTTATCAAGTTTAGAATTAGATATCTAGCACCTTATGAAGCATACAATTGCCTCTTGTTTTGCAGAAATGGTTGTCCTTGCTATATGTTGGTCCTTAGAGCTCTTCTCTTCACTATGGAGAGATATCTCAAGGATTCTTCCACCTAGCTGACTCATGGAAGCAGGGAACAAGGCCATGACCCCAGCCAAGCTTGGTGAATTTGCCGTATTATTTTGCTGGCAATATCAATATTTCCCACAGGCAGAGATAATAAGGTGTTGACTGGGTGGATCTCACTCTATATTATCATTGGTGATCTTGGTCTGTTGTAAAGTGACTTTCCTAAGGCAAACAGGATAAAATATACTCAATTGCAGAAAAGCTATGCCAAAAAATACTTAGGCTTTTAAAATTGAAAATGGAATAAAGGTTTACAATTGAAAAGAGAGAGAGAGAGAGAGAGAGAGAGAGAGAGAGAGAGAGAGAGAGAGAGAGAGGAGAGACACACACACAAACAGGAGACAAAATGTTCATGGCTGGAAAGCAAGTGTGTTTGGTAAAAGATGAATGCTACAGACATAATGATTTTGTAATATTACAAGAATCAGTGCTGACAGTGTTTTATAAAACATGTAATTGCTGAGACATCATGGGACCAGGAATCACAAGACCTAGCTTCTAATCCTGGTTCTGAGTTGTCTTACGTTGGGGAACTTAAGCATTTAAACCCCTCTGGGACTTTGTTACCTCATTTGTAAAATGATAAAATCCTTTTTTGCACTAAATCCTGAATCTTGTTTAATGACACTAACATCAGCATCAACATTAATAACATTATATTCCTTGTAAAGAATCCATGTAAGTACATGAATACCATTTGGTTTCATTTTCTCATTTGCCCATAGCCCCTTGTTAAGCATGCAGGGACTCTTCACTCTCTGTTACTGACATCTACTGTTGCTTTCTCTGCCCTGTATCAAGTTTTTCCTTACAGCGCCTTTCTGATGAGAGCAATGTTTGTAATGTATTCTTTGCTCATTTTCTGGAACAATAATTTCAATAACAATTATAATTATTTCCCTGTGTATTAAATATCTTACCAGTATCGTGACCTGGATCAAAAGTTTTAATCCTCTTGATATTCTTGCATGTTTATGATATACTTTAGTCATACATGACATAGTCGCATTTTATAGCCCTTCCTTCATTTGCCAAAAAGTAGTCATGGGTTATCTCTTTTGATTCACTTAAAAGTAACTTGTGAAAATCTCTTTTGAACATACATATCCCATAATGCAAGAAAGTCTCTTCAAGTGGGTTAGTTTGTTCTTTCCCCAAGGCCATCTTTCCTTTAATAAAGGATTCAGAACTGAAATGTGCCTGCTGTTCAGTCAAGAAATCTCAGCCTACTTTTGATTTTAAACACAAACCAAATGTCATCACATTCAAATTCACTGTAACATAATTGAAGTGTAGTAGGGCTTAATGGGTCATTTTTGAACTTGGTTCGTATGAGGGTCGTGCACTACCAGGCGAAAGGTTGCAGCCAGCTTTCTTTCTTGCTAATGGAGCTTCATAGTCTGCTGCTGTTCTTTCTCTGTACATTTTCCTAACTATTTTATAGACTTAATGTGCTTATTCATAATATGCTACACCTTAGCGATTTCAACCTGGTTGCTCTGTCCCAGCAGCTGAACTTTCTTCATCTTTATTGCTCGCAAAATCAGATCTGTTTTCCAAAGCCATGTTGCAAATGAGACTAAAGTGTCTAAAGAGCAAGGCTACATGAATTGCATGACTCCAAGTATCAGGGAAATCTGAAAATTATAGAACAAGAAATAGTGATGTGGAGGCAGCCAGGCACAGAGTGACCTTGAAGTTTGGAGTACCTGGTTTCAGGTCCTGCCTCTTGACACATGGTGGCCACCTAACCACAGATGCATCACTTAACTTCTATGTCCCAGTCAACTCTCTGACTATAAGTTATAGTTGCCGGTATACGTGTTTGGGGAGTTTTCCCCAGAGTTCCTTGTAATGATAAATTGGAGTTCCCTACACCACGGCTGTCAAACTCAAACAGAAATAGGGTTATATGTATATAGCAATCCCTTTGGGCTACTTACTGACTTTGAAAAACACATTATCTATGTTCTATTGTCTTTCTTTGTTGTTGTTGTTGTTAAAAACATCCTAATTACATTTTAATCTGGTTGGGCTGCACTCAGGAGTGTTACGGGCCATGTGTGTGACACCTCCGCCCTATACCAATGAAGTAATGGATCTGGACCAATGATAACGTAGTCCCAAAATTGGTGATCCAGGAAGTAATTTTAATAGAATTTGAAAAACATCTCACTTATAAGCAGAGGCATGTGACTACAATAAAATTGTATTTTTCAGTTTTTGTAAATGCTTTGTGGTTTAACCATAACAACGGTTGGTTGCCTAGTAATCATTGTGAAATTGGCATGTGTCACTTATTTATGACGTGTGCAAAGTATCTCCATGCAAACTCTGTGTCTCTCCTACATGTAGCTGTTTTTCTTATGTCACTACACCCTGAAAGTATAATTCAGTAGAACTAACAAATAGTCCAAAATAGTACTGTATTTTGTGACAGGAGAATGTCCAAAGTCAGTCTTATCTTTGCCTAGAGGTCTCTTTAGCCAAAAGATAGCTGACTACTTTCTCTGCGAGTTTGTTGCAAGTATTTTTGTTGTTTAGGTATGCACCGTCTTACTGTTCTGTGTTCCCAGAAGTGGAATGGTTATCATTAACCAAATTAGATTTCTTGATAATCTGTATCCTTTCTTATCCTGTACTACTCTTTTCTTATCCTATCCCTACCCCTTTGTAGAAGCCAGGGAGAAAAATCCTCACCTAATAATTCACCATTAATCCCTCTTAAACTGAGGAAATAAAGATACCATATGTTTTTTTTCCTTATATTATAGACCACTATTTAATTTCAAATATTTAAGTTTTAGAGAAATACTAGCATTATCCCTGAAAGCCATCATTTCACTTCTGTGACATACTCCCTGTCTACAGTGTTCATGGCGTTTGGTGACAAAGACATAGAACTCTGACTATGGATGTAACTTCAGAATGACTTTATAGACTGCAGAGCCCCAAAAGTATCTAATCACATAATTATGTTTTATAGGCACAGAAGCCATAGCACTCAATTCTTATGTGTACACAGTATACATTTACTTTGGTTTCACAACTATATTTGAAACTTACCTATGGTAATCATAGACTAACTTTTAGATAGATGTTCCTCAAACCAAAAGTCTCCCCAAATGAATTCATATTCATCTTTAAAAAAAATCCAGACTTTTCTATGAAAGACATATAACAAGGCCCAGGCACATTAAGTGATTGATGTGTATTAATGTCCAAATCAGTGGTACGTGGTACCTGTGATCACATTCCTAGTGGACATTAACGATTGCACACCTGACCCCATCACCACACAAAATGTCCTAATACTGAAAACAGTGGATTTTCTTTGATAGTAGCTTCACAAGAACCTATGCACATTCAGATATACACAAGAGCTTTTGAAGAAAACATTATGGCTGATTTTATACAAGGTTGTTAGATGTTCTTTTCTCTCTCTCTCAATAAATTATGCCAAAATTAATACATTAGGGGCATTATCTCAGGATGAAAGGCAGAAATGATTTGAACTTAGCCAAATCTTTGAAAGCCATTTTGTGGAAAATTTCTTCCAAATGCGCGCGCGCGCACACACACACACACACACACACACACACACACACACATGATTAGAGCATGACAATGACCAATTTTCCTTGTCCCTCTTTGAGGTTAGTTTTCTATGACTAATACAGAGAAAAATGCAGGTTGTGCTTGTACCAACCTGTTTCAAACAACAGAGGTAATTTTCTATTCTAAGCATCTAATTGTTTTATTTCAATGAATTTATTCTTTCTATAGCATGAGCCACTGCAGGTATTAAAAAACCACCTGTATTGTTAGCTGAGTTAGACATCTCCCTTCTCATTCTGACTTCATTGGCTAACTTTGGGCAATTACATAACAGAAATCATGGTTGCCTTTGTTTCTAAAAGAGGCTTTCCCTTTGAGATATAGAGTGCTCAGTTTTGTTTTGCAGTTTTTAATGTCCCCCAAATTAATGGGATTTCCCCCATATGTGGCCCCATGTCAGGAGTTATATATCTACTTTTGCTATCTTCCACAGTGCTTCTTCCCTAATTGAAGACACCACACCAACTTCCACAGATTGTCATAATACTTCCTGCACATTATACTCGGGGTCAGCAGTAATCCTTAGCTACTGGTGTCTAAGACTGCAAAATTGATCTTAAACTCTGAGGTGAAACCTTTGCAATGCAAGGTCATGGTTTGGCAGGGAAGATGACAGGGTTTCCAATTCAGAATCCTATTTATAGTTTTTATTTTGGAGGTACTGGAGTTTTAATCACTCCTAAATGTTTAGATACTATATTTCAGTCCTAGGAATTTCTCTACAGCCATTTATTAACGTGACAAACTGTAATATTGTATGTGAGGAAAAAAAATGTACTCCAGTAAATTATCATAATGCATTTTTTGTTTATTTTGTAGTGTTTCTGTATTTATCTGCACTTTGTATATATACAAACACACATGTAAATAACCTGATTATCTCTAATCTAAATGGTCACAGTACCTTTGTTGTACTTTTACACTGTATTTCATGAATTTAAAAATACTTTAAAATAAATGACATATGCACATTTTAATTTGGTCTTTGTACTTTATACTTTGCATCATGTTGTGGGGAGAAGAGTTTGGGGAAGCAGATTGGGTAATTTTAGGACAAGATAGAGAATAGCTGGGAAGCATTCAGAAAAGATGATCTGTGCTTAACAGACCAAGAACTTCTAATGATGTGGATGGTACCTGTCCCTGTACTCCTTAATGGAAAGTCATAGAAGAACCGTATCAAATTCTGCTGGCATTTGGCATGAAAAAATAGATTGGACACATGATATACTCTGCCTGTATTAACAATGACCCAACTTAAAAAGGGAATGAGAACTAAGGGAGAAAAATGAAACACTTGAAAACTAGCAGGGTTCCTGGCAGCCAATGAGGAGCCATTTTGAAATTTTCCAAAGTATTTACTTCTCAGTTTGCAAACAGTATTGAAAAAATTGGACCCATGTGTAATCAGTTCAGATTCTACCCTCATATTGGTTTTTTTTTTCCTGCAGTAGAAATTGTTTTGTGTTGCTAAGTGGAATGGATGCAGTAAAACACCTTACCAATTGTTGAGGTGCTCTTAGAGGTTAATAGTAGGATCAGTAGATAAGGCCATTGAGGTGGAAGATCCCTTTCCATATAGCAACAACTAGGTTGCAAGTGGAATGACATTCCTTTGGCAGTAGGCAGGAGGAGCTTGCCTCCTGAAAGAGAAAGAGAGCTCAGAGAGAGGCAAATGAAAGGAACTCAGGGAGAGGAACTGGTTGAAGGATGAATCAGCTGGACCTTAAAAGTCATGGAGTCCTGAATACCCTTCATTTTAAAGATAAGGAAATGGACCTAGAGAAGGGTGGTGACTTGCCTGAGGTCATACAAGTAGTAAATAGAAGACTCAGGACTTGAACTCAGGTCTTTTGATTCTCAATCGAGTATTTTCTCTCCATACCAGATCACACTGCCATCTCTACATTTTCCATATGATTAAGGCATGTTTTTTTTAATTAAAAAGAATTTTGAAAAGAGTTAAGAAATTATCCTGACATTCCTACCTAAACAAGCAACCTTGGTCCATGTCAGTGTAGGAAAACATGAATAACGTGATTGTATACCTATGTAGTCATAGCCATTCATTAGGTTGGGTTTTTTTCCTTCATTATACATAGATACAAAGGGAGTTATTGACATTGGTTATATTGGGTGGAGGAGAGGTAGCAGTGATGAGCCTGGGGTGTTTAGTCTAGCTGGATTTCACAAATAAGGTAAGTTTTAAACAGAGTTTTGACGTAAGGCAGGGGCATTTATTGGCAATTTAATTTGATTCATTTCAACTTCTGTCTGTGAGCTAGAACCTGGGAATACAAAGACAAAAATGAAAGTCCATGCTTCCAAGGAGCATCTACACTTCTAGTAATGGTAATTACTAGAAGATTTAACACAAACTACATTTGCATTAAAAGTAATTTCCAAGGGCAGGATGTTAGCAACTAGGATGATGAAAATAGGCTTCCTATAATAGGAGGTATCCATAATATATCTTGTCTATAGATTGTTTGTACATAGTTGTTTACATGTCATCTCCCCATTAGACTAATAGCTCCTTGACCACAAAGACTCTCTTTTACCCTTCTTTGTAAACACAGCATTTAGTAAAGTCCCTGGCTTGATTATTAAATATTTATTAAGTAAGCACTTAAATGTTTATTGACTGACTGAACATACCCAAAGCATGATATAATTAATACATGTATAAATAAACATGCAATTACATGCAAGGCACACATTATATGGGTAAATATTAGCATGTCATCTGGCTACCTGTGCCACCTAGACTATCATAAATTGGTTGTTGTAGACAATAACAACAATATTGTTTTAAGAGCAACTTTGAGTGATGAATATTATAAATACACATTAAAAATGAAGGAAACATGAAGAAAGACACTATCTGCATCCAGAGAAAGACCTGATAAATAGAAGTATGTGTAGAATAATTTTACATATATATGTATATATGTATACACACACCTATTTTGTCTAACAGCCATCTCTAGGATGGGACTGGGGGAAAGGAAGAAAACAAAAGAAAAAATTTACGAGATTACCTTATATATTTAAAAGGAGTAGCGAGTTGTACATAATAGATTTGAAGTGTCATGTGCAATCATCTTATTATTATACCATGTTATGGAAATACTAGTTTTATTCCATAAATTAAAAAATAAAATAAATTTTTAAAAATAAGTTAATCTTATAATTCATCTAATAGACCCTAGCCCTCCTGTGGCCCGCTGACCTCTCTGCCCTTATATTTGAGATAGTTGATAGTATGGACTGAACACAGTCCTCTCAGAACTCTAGTCCTGAATTTCCAAACCTGTATTTGTGGAAAGCCCAGGCTGGCTAAATATTACTACGTTCTATGGAATCTGTCTGTAACCTAGGTACCGATGATATTCCAGGCAAGAAAGTTGCTGCCTTTTGGATCAGCCCTCTCTTCCTTTATTCAAGCTGTTTTCAGACAGACAGTAGTCTTCACCTTGAAAGGTCTGCGTCTGAGCTATTGAGTGGTTCAGATAGTCTTTGCCTAACTAGTAGGTGGTCCTCTGAGGAAAGTGTCCTTAGTCTCCACTTGCTCAAATGGGAATCCCTTTGATTCACTCAAAGTCAATAAGTGGTTGCTTTGTCTTTTACTGAGGCCTCTTCCATTCTCTGAGGCTATTTTGCAAGTAGACAAATTGACCAATCTCTCCACAAGTAGGTATGGAGTAGCTTTCCATTGATTTAACTTGTGTGTCTCATGAATACCAAGGTTTCTCATCACAGCTCATTCTGCCCCTCTAGTCCATCTATCTGCCAAAAGGTCAGAAGTATGATTCATATAAATCTTCAAGATTTGTGATTAGTCATTGTATTGATGATCATGATCCTTAAATCTTCTTCTTGTTTTTCTTTGCAATGTTGTGGTTGTTCCCCTGGCTCTGCTCACTTTACTCCACATCAGTTCTCCCATTATTCCATTTCATGGATTCTTTTGGTACCACAACATCCCCTTACGTTCATATGCCATACTTTGTTCAGCCCCTCCCGATGTGATGGGCACCCACTCTGTTTCCACTTTGTCCTGAGGCTTACCATTAACCCATTCTTCCTTTCTGTGTCAAAATTGCTCAGATTCCATAAACCTACTGACACTTATTTTTGTCCAGGTTTCCTATGGGTTGTTCTCTAAAAGAGCATATGTGGGTCCTCTGCTAAGAAAATTCCTAATTTAGGCCAATTATGAAATTATTTTATGCATGACTAACTATAGTCTTAACCCTTACTCTCACTGATGTTTCTCTGTGTGGTGCAGGGGCCGCACCCCTGACACTCTGCATAAAGTTGTGCTTCTTTGGGTTGCTTAAGGGATCTAGCCCTCTCTATATACATAGAAGGCTTGCATTCCTGACATCAAAAATATGGATTCAGGATCACCTACAAATAATACATCCATTTCTGATGGTGAGTCTTGCCTCAGTTTCCCTATATATGAGGGTACCAATACAGGCCTAAGTATGATCCTCAATTCCTATGCTGAGTTGCCCCCCCTTTACACACTAAAACTACAATTTAAGGGGGAAAAAAGCCTTCCTCCTCAATGGGCTTTCTTTAAGCAGTCTACTTTCCAAATACTGGATTTTGTCAGGAGTTTTTGAGTGGTTAAATGAGTCTGATAATTCACAGAATATTTACTTAGTGGATCTTTTGGTCTCCTTCCATCATGGACTATTCCATAGTCTCCCAACTCTCCATTACTTTTTTCTTCAAAAAAATCAATACTTTTATTTATTAATAAGGCAGCTTTGTGGTACAGTGGATAGTAAGACCTGAGTTAAAATTTGGCCTAGGATACATATTTAGCGATATGACCCTGGGCAAGTCAATGAACACTGCCTCAGTTTCCTTATCTGAAAAATGGGTGGGATAACACCTACCTCCCAGAGTTGTTACGAGGACAAAATGAGAAAAAGAATTGTAGATTGCTTTGCAAACCTTAAAGCACTATATAATGCTTGTAATTATTATTATATTATTGATCCTAACACCCCACTAAATTTTTTCTGCCCTTTGTAGCAAAACTCCTTGAAAAGTGCCTCCCTTTTCTCTCCGCTGGCTCTCTTCTTACAATGTGGCTTCTCTCTTACAGTGTGTCTTCTGACCTCATCAATCTGATGAAACTGCTTTCTCCAGAGTTACTAATGATCTCTTCGTTGTCAAATTCAAGAGCCTTTTCTTAATCCTTATTCTCCTTGACTTCTCTTCAATCTTTGACATTGTTGATCACACTCTCCTCTTTGAAACCCTCTTCTCTCTAGGTTTTCAGGTTGCATTCTCTCCTGGTTCTCCCCCTCCCTGTCTTATCACTCCTTCTCTGACCTCATTGCTGGATCATGTCTAGTCATCTAGGCATCCCTCAGGCTTCTGTCCTGTATCCTCATCTTCTCCATCTACACTGCTTCACTTGATCTCATCAGCTGCCATGGATTTAATTACCATCTCAATGCTGATGATTCTCTGATTTACCTGTCATGTCCCAAATTCAGCTGATCTCCAATCACCATCTCCAGATGCATTTCAGACATCTCACACTTGTCCAATAAACGTCTTAAACTCAATGTATCCAAAATGGAACTCATGATCTTTCTCCTTAAACCCTCCAGACCTCCTTACTTCTCTTTTATAGTAGAGGGCAATACCATCCTCCCATTCCTCCTAGGAGTCATCCTTGATTCCTCACTATGCCTCACCTCCCATACACAATGTGTTGCCAAGGCCAGGTGATTTGACCTTTGCAATGTCTCTCCTTACACATCTCCTATATGGCCACTTCTTTTCTCTGACACAGCCACCACTTTGGTGCATTCACTTGCAAAAGCATACTGTTGGGTCTGCACCTATCTTTCCCTTTAGTTAACAACCTCAGCTCCACCTCTTCAGAGAAAGTATTTCTTTAATCTGTGTGGAATAAACAAAGGGAAAAAAAGTACCTGAAGCAACT